AAGTGTTATCGATAACGAGACGGCATCGGTCTCTCGTCCGTCGATCCGCGAACGGGATCCACGGATCGAGCGAAGATGAGAACGAACGGATCCGTTGCCCCCGGGCGTCGAGATCACCGCGAACGCCATCTTGCCGCTCGCCGGGAGAGAAAAATCAGAGCGGTGGATATATCGATCGATGATTCACTTGTTTTGCAACGACGGCGGTTTTGAAATCGAACTGTGCTAGACCGTGCCAGGTTCTACGCGACTGCGTCGATACCGAGTGGATTCTACTGGAGGCCAATGGATTCCCGTAGATTTTTATGGACTTTGGAGAAGGGTGCTATGTTGTCGCGGAGGTTAGAGGAGTCTGATGGGGTCTCTTGGTTAGGCTTTGTGTTTGGGTTCTTGGGGATCTGCTGGAATCCGTTGGACTTTCTGGAATCCATTGGACTCTGCTAGAATCTGGTGGATTTATATAGAATCCATTGAAGATGCTTGAAATCCATTGAGCTCGTTTGGAATCCATTGAACTCTAGTAGAATTTATGGAACTCTCTTGGAATCCATTGGACACTCTTGGAATCCATTGAACTCTACTGGAATCTATTGAACTCTCTTGGAATCCATTGGACACTCTGCAATCCACTGGACTTTCTTGCTATTGATCTACCTTAGAATCCACTGGACTCTGCTGAAATCCATTGGACTCTCTTGAAATTTACTGGACTCTGCTGAAATCCACTAGACTCTCTTGGAATTCACTGAGCTTTGCTCAAATCCACTGGACTCTCTTGGAATCCACTGGACTTGAAATCCATTGGACTCACTTAGAATCCACTGGACTTATTTGGATTCTACGGAACTCTACTAAAATCTACTGACCTCTCTTGGAATCCACTGGACTTGCTTCAAATCTATTGGACTCACTTAGAATCTACTGGACTAACTCAAAATCCACTGGACTCACATGCAATCCATTGTACTCACTTAGAATCCACTTGGTTCCCCTAAAACCCATCGTATTCCCACAAAATCCCCTATTCTCTCACAAAATCCACCAGACGTCATCAGCCCCATCAATACCTATTCCCTCCCACTCACCTCTATCGAGTTTCATTGGATTCTATTAAAACTACACCCCTTCTTCCAAGCCCTAACAGACCCTACCAACCCACACTGCACTTCATACTTTCCATAAACAGCCAAGTGCTTCTCGAATATTCTACGATCCTTAAAAAACAAAGAGAACAGTGCATCATCTGTTTACACAGCTACCAATGCTTACCAGAATTCTCGAATTCCTCGAGCTTCTGCAGGATAATCTTCCTATCCTCTTCGCAGAGATCATGCCAGCCATCGATATCCTCCTCGGGATCGTCTATCCGCTTGGTAGTCGCCCTCTGCTTCGCGAACACATCGAACAGGCACGTGACGTGGTGCCAGGCTTTCATCTTGCCGTCGCCGAACGGATTCGAGACCAGTTTCGCGATCCTCACGGCATCCTTATCGATCGGGCACTTGCACTTCTTGCATTTCGCGCGGCCAGTCTTCGCTCGCTCCACCGCGAACGGCTTCTCCTCTTCCTTCTCGTCGTCCGACATCCTCCGGAACCTTAAACGAACCCTTAATTCCATCAATTTCAACGTTAATTCCCACAATATTCACAAAAGATCAATTAATTGCCGCAGAATTCTCTTCCCGATTGTATTGGTTATATTTAATTTACCGTTAACAATGAACAAGAACAAAAGGAAGTTTTCGCCTACGCAATGAATAACAATGCTTTCATATTATTTTCATCATTATTCGCATCATTTCATTACACTGACCGAGAGATCGTTGAGAATCAATTCTCGAAACTTCTCTTCTTTCAGTCGATATCTCCATTATTCTCCTCTGTTTCGAGAAATACAAATTTCATTCATCCTGCAAGCATACTAATATCTTCAAGAAGGTTCTACCTAACTCCAACGTGTAACTTCGTTAGCGATTTCGTATCCATTACAGAGATTCGATGGAAAATTCAAAGAAAAATCATTTTACATGTGGCTGTTTACCGTGTCCGACCATCGCCCGACTATCTCCACTTAAACTCTAGTTCTTCGTTTCATTATCCGTCTTTGTATTCTACATGATCCGTGGAAAACATCTAATCAAAGAGATTACAGTAGCAGAAAACGCGTAGAACAATAAACGTTTCCAACGTTCGAACGTAAAACAGAACGCTTCACAGACGAAGTGGCTTTGATTCCTACTTCATTTTCCATAATGCAACGTCTGAAAAATAATATCCCGCGATATCTGCTGCTGAATCTCGCTCACAAAGGGCCGCTAATTACTGCACATCGATCGATCGCCTTCCAACGTCCCTCTCTCCATTATATTGATGAACTCGCGTTCCCCGCTCGCGAGAAGAAAGAACTCGCGGAGCGTTTGAAACAGAAAGAAATCCGCTTGAAAGGTTAATCCGCCGGAAATGAAGAACAAACGCGCATTAAGCTACTAGCTCGCTTCTTAATCCATTCTGAAAGGGGTGAAACTGAAGCAAAGGGAAGGCGAGGCGGGTCGGATTGCTTGCCGAGTCCCAGCGATCGCTGCGACCAGCTCGTGAACGCCGGAACGTCTCTGAAATTCAGTTTCACTCGGTCGGAATTCAATTCGGCTCGCGTGCCGAAGAAATTGTCAATTTCTGGAACGGTTGCATGTGAATAAACCCATAAGATTTTTCGATATCTTCCGATTTTCGGAAATCTTGAATGAATAACATTCGTTTCTTCGTTGTTTCTAAGTCGGAAAGCTTCTAAATGCATTGTGTAATCATTTCGGAAGCGGAAACATTAATTTCCTCAATTATTCTTTCCCGACCGACTCATTTATCAGTCGTTTCCGCGATTTTCTACCTCTTTAACGCGCCGCTGCGCAGGATTGCTTTGAATACCTTTCATAAAGCGAAGGGTTATTAACTGAACAAACAGAGTTGCGCTCGCAGAATGCGTCCCTCGTAAATCGAATTTCACACAGCCCGCGTAGCGACGACGGAGCGAAGAATCAATGAGAAAAAAATGGTGGCGACCGGTCGGGACGCGAAATCGCTGGATCCCGGCGTCCGCCATTTTGCCGGGCGTGCGCGGCCCGCCGGGAAGAACGCGAAGAAGAGAATCGCGGCGATAAGAGGAAGCCGTTAATTGAGCGACCACGATAAGAGGCCGAGGGGCTGTTATTGTCAATTAACGCGGCGATTGGTCGGGATCTTTGTCGACGCGCCGCGGAACGCCGGCAAACAATGGCAGAGGATCGTCGATCGAGAACTCCGACCGCTCGTTCCTCTCCTTCGAGTCTGTCGCGAGCTTCCGCCGCGGATTCGAATGAAAAAGTTAATCTCATCTTAGTTTTAACACGAAAGACTCGAAGAAACGTGCGCAAGCTGATTCGGCCGAGCGTTAACAGCGTCGCGGTGCTGGGATAAAGCACGCGAAAGATAACGCCGCGCGAACGGAACAGCATCTCTTAATTGGTCCGCGTATCTCGGCGCGCTGGTGACAAACACTAATGAACAAAGTCCGGGAAAATAAAGAGGTTTTGTCCGCGCGTTATGAAGAAGTGGGGAAACTGTTTGAATTTCGTTTGAATGTTAATTATTGAAGATTGGTATCGGAGAACTCGTTTGCATCCTTCGGGACAGTCGCGTGAAATTTCACTTCGACGAAGTGGATTTTGGAAGGATATTACAATTTAGAATATTTTATCGTGGTACGAATGTAACGTTGAAAGAAGTTCGTTGAACAGGTCGTTTTACGAATCGTTCGCGTGAAACCAATTATGGAATTCCGACGAATGTACCTTTAATTCAGCGGTATTTCCGTCGGTGGAAATAATTCGGTCTCGCGCGTCACGCGTGCCGCGAGCGGGAAGAAGAAAATAGTGGGAAATTATGCCGCACAAAGAGATCGACGGAGCGTGAGCCTCGCGTGGCGGGGAAATGAAAATTCGGAGGAGAAGCGGACGGAAGGCGGCGAGAGGGAGGACCGAAGACTGGACAGGCTTTGTCCGTGAACGCCGATATGAGCCCGGATCGTGAATAAATCAGGGAACGCGCGACATTTCCATCTCGCGCGACCTAACGAACCGTGCCTCCTCATCAATCGTCCGATCGGCCGTGTTCCTTTCGAATCCTATCGGCGAAATCCCGTCGAAATATCTTAGCACTAGAATATACCGTGAATATAGAGCGATACAAATAGAGGCTACAATAGGGATTATTAATAAACGAAACTCCAAGCTTCGTGACGTTCCAGTGAACACAAAAGTCTCTGATCAGGTTCTAATTATACTCCTCTCGAATGGTGTAACTAAAAATAGAATTACCCAACTGGAATTACATTTTACGTAGAATTCTATCTATAACGAAATGAATCGAGTGGAGGTGCACAAAAATTCATTACAACTCAAATTGTGAACCATTTCCTTGCATCAAATTTGAGCCCTTTGCGACGATGTTTCTCGTTATAAATATTCATTACTCTAATAAATATGAACGTCGGTAATACTGTCTGCCAATCGAACGAAACATAATTTTACAGAAATTAAGGGACATTTATTTCGATATTCCGCGTGTCGCATCACGCAAACTGGAATATTGAATTCGAAACGTTATCGTCCCCCGCTCGATAAAATAAATAAAATTTATCAAAGACATTTTCTGCTTTTCGTAGATTTCAGTGGAATAAATATTCTTTCTACATATTAAAGGGGAGCCATTCTTTCTACACCTTCTAAGTATCTCGCACAATCGTTTCACGAGCAAAACATTAGTTCCCTCGATCTGCGAGCGACTCGTAACAAAACTGTTTAGAAATCCTTCGCGCCGATACATCCGTGAGATATCTGCCACTGCGAATTGTTGATTGAAGCTAATTTCGAGGAGCGCGCATCGTTGAACGCACATCCGTAGGAGAAGCCGACGGGACGAAAGGCCGCGAGGCGGTTTCGCGTTGTAACGAAGCGAGGAACGCGTACGTACGAATGGCACACGCGTGGGCGGGCGAGCTACAGAATCCTCGTGCCAGCATCTCGGGCCTCTACAGGTGGTAGGAGGTGCGGCTAGGAGACGGGGGTGGCGGCGGTTTCCGCTCGGGGTATAATAGAGGGTGCAACAGCCCTCTCCGCTCATTCTTCGCGCACGCACGGTCCCGCCGAAAAGTTGATCTCGCGCCGCGATCGTATCCTTCAAACGGAGATTTCCTCTCTAGACACGAACAGAATCTATCCTTGGATCATCCTCTGCTCGATCGACGATCGATTCATCGTGCGAACGTTGTTTCAAGTGATTTAACCGGAGGTGCGAGGCTCCCGTGATTCAGCAAGGTAGGAGGCTAGGACAAGTTCACTCGTTTGTTCACTCGTTTATTCACTCGATCGTTTATTTCCGATTCCATTCGATTTTCACTTGGCGAGACTGTCTCCTTGTGTACTCTGTTCTCTACATTCGCTTGTTCGTTTTCGTTGTTCCCCTTTGTACGGAGACTGGGGTGAGCAGGATTCTTATCGTCTTGGAACTTGAGACTTCGAGTGTACTTTCGGAGAGATTCCATCGTAACTTCTTGCGTCGCTCTTTATGGAATAAAGTTTCTAGAATTTCTAGTTTTCTGGTACGCGCTGTAAGAGTGTTGATTGAAACGATCGACTTGTATGGAATCAGTTCGTTGAATAATTTCCCCGAAAGTTGCTAGATTTCGATAACTAAGAGAAGCAGATCGAAAGGAGTTTCAATCGATCTAAGCGTTGAATTCGCGCGGTCGATTAGTAAGATCCTCCTCGATCGCCACGCGCGAAGGGTTAAATATCTCGCGTCACTCGTTCCCCGGTGGCTAATCGTTTTGTTTACCGGGTAAACGCGTCGCGACGCGTTTTCAGATGAATCCGCGGCCGTGAACCGCGAGGCTCCGCGAGGAATCGACGCGTGTATGCTGGAAAGACGAGAAGAAGAAGGGAGAAATGGAACGATCGGCCGCGGAACGGCGCACGGTCGATCGGGCGACCGGCGCCCGACAAAATGGCGGTCGGAGCGCGCGTTCGCACGGCGTTCTTCCTGGCAGACGATACTCCATTGTTCGGAATGGAGGCCGCGTTTGCGTATGCCGATCCGCGGACGCGGAAGATGACAAAGGCTATCGCCGGCAAAAAGGGAGGCATCGCGTGGAAAGTTTTTTTCTCCTTTCGCTGGTGAGCCTTTTTGGGTGAAACGTCTTGTTAAGCGGAGAGCTCGGACGATCGGCAATGAGGCAATACCTCGGAGCTTTGTTATTTTCGTGATTTATCTTTGAGATGTCAGATATTTTCTAGTTTCCCTCGATTGTTCCGTTTAATTATTTCGGGAGAATTTGAAGGAGCTTCGAATTTAAATCGTTTCAAATTTAAATCTATTCCTCGGCTCTCGATCGATTCTGCTTTTACTGAGTTCAGTCGAACCTAGATTTTTTAGATTACAATCTACTGGAATTATAGAAATATTATAGAAATTATAGAAATATTATAGGAATCACTGAATTCGTGCTCCTAAATCCAGAAACCGCTGAACCTACAAATTACCAGATCCGCGAGATACTAAATCCACGAATGACAAAATTGACGAATTACTGAATCCGCGAATTACCAAATAAACCGATTAACCGCCGAATTACTGCAAACCCTCCGCAGCCGAAATAGCCCGCGCGACAAAGGCCGCCGAGCCGATCCGAACGAATCCATTAGAGACTCTCGCCATCAAAGTTTCCCTCGCATCGCGCTCGCAGCCCCGCGAGCAGAAAGGAAGGGAATTTTTCAGGGTAATTAGAATTTCGCCGCAATAAAAACGAATGGAAACCGGCGGGGGGCGGTCGGGTGGCAACGGCGGAGGTGTCGGACGGCAGGAATTACGCGCGGCCGGAGTTTTTCGTGGGCGAGAGCCGAATTATGTAAAGTGTAATTGCGCGCATCCCTCGTCGATGTTATCGGGCCGAAAGAGCGAGCGCGTCGGGTCGCCAGATAAATTGCGCCCGGCTTGCATGAATACCCGAGCGAGTCGGGCCAGAATAAGACCGAACGAACGAACGGACGGACGAACGGACGAGGTTGGCCGGGTCATCGGGAATTATCCCTTTCGTTCGATAAGACCGATCGATAAGCGCGCGGATAAGATTACGCGAGATCGCGAACGCGGATCGAACCACCGTCCACGGACGATATCTTCTCACTTCTACATCGAGCCGACGGATCAAGGCGAGGGGAGGCGGAGCACGGTTTGACAAAGTCGGAGAATTAGATTATTTAAAACCATTGTGCCGCACGTGTCGAATATAAACGTGCGATAAAGGAAATATCAATTTCGTTAATTTCGATGATACTTTCTCGAACGTAGCGATTATTGAGATCGTCGCGATTGAGATGAGTCGGAATACGGTGTAGATAGATTTTAAGATGAGTTTAGTTTAATTGTAGATTAAGAATGAAATCTAATTTCTTTTACTTTGATTCTGTTAGAGTTGGTGAAACTATGATGCACATCGTGATTGGATTTATGTTAATCTAGATGATCTAGACAGTCTACTGGTGTTATGTTTGAGAAAGTAATGAAATTGATGTATCATTGAATGTGTGGTCATTCGCGGCGATTATTGTGAAATATTCTCGTCGGTATCGACCAATAAACAAATTTATTGTGCTTACTTGTTTTCATTGATTTAAATATCTTCGCGCAGCGACGGTATCCAATTGTAAGACGAGAATTCCACTGGTTTCAACGTTCACGAGACTACATGGAGGCCTGCGAGGCCGCACGTCCGTGTTCAACGGTTAATCGCTGTCGAGAGATTAGATTCGCGAATTCATTTCGGCGATTAGAAAGCGTTGGTACTCGAGGATTATGTTGTGTTGCGCAACCGGCTTTTTTCGACGTGTTTATCGACATGTAGACTGTAGATTTAAAGAGGCACGGCCTCGGAGGAGTGTGTCGAGATAGGTGGACGATTCGATGCTCGGAATTTGATTACGAAACAGCGTTTCTTTTGTGATTATTGATATTCTTTATTTTCGAGAATTCTGTATTCAGACGATCTTGATTTTTCAGGAACACTTTCGTTACGATCGTAGAAATTTGGAAAAAGGTTTCTTGTACTCGATGGTTTTGTGAATTATTTCCTAGTTATTTTTTAGGTGTAACAAGTTGAATAGTTATGATCCATTGGAGTACAAGAAACTTTTTCCAAGTTCCTACGATCGTAACTATTCAGTTTGTTACACCTAAAAAATAATTTGGAAAAAGTTTCTTCTACTCGATGGTTTTGTAAATTATTTCCTAGTTATTTTTTAGCTGTAACAAGTTAAATAGTTAACATTCGCGATCTAAATTCTTCCACCATCCAACCTATCAACCTATCGAAGTTACCTTTATTGTCGATGAATTAGCGATCGACCAATTGCGACGGAAGCTTCGGAATTCGCCGTCAAACGCGAACAATTAACGAAAGGTTAATCGTGTCTAGGAAATAACGCTCATTAGGCCTACCGATTCTTCCTCGGCAGGAATCCACGGGATTCATAACCCTGCGAGAATTCCGCGGGCAAATTCGAGGAACGTGACACGCGACGCTCGGGTTACGCTTTGAATAATTAGTTCGACTTCATCGCATCCGGCGCTGCCGGGAGGTACGAGGCTCGTTTCCGGAGGCCTGGCACGGGCGAAATCGAATCGAGAAACAGAGAGCGGCGATCGCGAATTGGATTAGCGACGGAGACGACTGCTCCGGAAACGCAACAAGTGGAAACTCGGAAGCTCGGCCCTGCTTTCATCGACAATTTCCGTTTGCATCGATCGCCACTTTCACGTTTTATACGGGTTTTCCGGTTTCTAGACGAGAGAACTTGGAATTTTTCATGTTGCGGATTGGACACTTGATCTTAGTTTATTAGTTAGCATTGGAAAATAGGTGCTAGGTATTTTTTTATTAGTTACTATTGGAAACTAGATGCTCAAAATTATTTTATTCCCTGTTTTCTTCGATTTCTAGAGGAGAAATCTTGGAATTTGCAACGTTGGAAATTAAATAGTTGGTGTTACAGTATTAATTAGTATTGGAAAATAGGTGCTAGGTATTTCTTTATTAGTTACTATTGGAAACTAGATGCTCAGAATGATTTTATTACCTATTTTCTTCGATTTCTAGAGGAGAAATCTTGGAATTTCCAACGTTGGAAATTAGACGCTCGGTGTTACAGTATTAGTATTGGAAAATTGCTTGGTATTTCTTTATTAGTTACTATTAGAAACCAGATGCTCATAAAGATTTTACTACTATCAGAAACTAGAATCACTCGCATTACTGTCACAGATTTAAATCGCGTAAAACTGAGCATCGAGTTGAAGTTTCATTCGGTTGCCACGCTTTAACAGCACACCTCTCCGGCGGTGTCGGTAAATTTACATTTCCACGAATAGAATAAAATGCCTCGTAAGTACTATTTCTCACGCGTAACGGGGTGACGTTCGAAATATCATCGCGATTCCGAGAAATTCTGTACATTTGAAATCCACGGTGCCAGTAATCCGTGGAAAATCCGCGACGATCGGTCGGCGGACGGGATCGCGATGATCCCGCGTTTATGGAAGCGTCCCCCGAACGAGGAGCCGTCGGAAATTAGCCTGAAAAAGGAAAACGAGTCGTCGCCGGCGAAAAAACGAGTGGCGGGATCGCCGAAGCGTTCAGGATACGTCGCGATAACGACCGATTGTCGGAGGGTCGACGATATTCACGGTCGGCCGAGATGCTGTGGGAAGAGCAGGGAAAACGAGACAAGAGGAACGGGAGAAACGGGGAAAAAGCGACGGAGAGAGGGAAACGGGAGATCGATCCTCGAGATAAATCGACGTTTGATGGCTCGTTCGACTCGAAAATGAACACCCACGAGGACAGCGAAGTGTCTGGGTTAGCTCTGAACTCTCGCGGCCACTGCGGCCTGTTTCTCCTCGAATATTATTTTCCCTGTTGTCTCTATTGCGGATTGATCGGACCTTCGCTCGTTTCGGCGAAGATTTTCGCGTTGCGAATCCGGGGGTGTTCTACTCGCGGTGAATGATGGATGAGCGAGTGGGAGGGAAAGTTTAGCAGTGATTCTTCGCAGTTCTGATTTCTTTCGTTCCCTTCTATGAGTTTAGCTCTTATGATGTTGTACTACGGTGGTTTTTTATTCTCTGTGGTTTTGGTTTCAGATTGTTTTATGGTTGTTGATTTTGAAGTTTCGGAACTGTTCGCGAAAGCCCTATCTAGAGAGCTGCAGGAATGTTGCGTATAGTAGTTGCTAATGAAATTAGGATGCTGTATATGCTTAGATACAGATGTGATTAACAAGTACAGGTTTCGAATTTTTGAATTGAATTAAGAAATTAGAAGTGTTGGTGGTTTTCCTAATGTTACGCGATGCGTTCTGTTGTTCCAGCGATAAAGAGGATCAAGGGAATGACGGGAAGGTCCAGCGCGAAACGGACGGGCTTGTGTCTGCTGACACTGTTATTATTCTGCCTCTCCAACGGCAACGTCCTGGTCGTCGGAGACCCGGGCCCGATACCGTCCGAGTTGCTCTACAGCGAGGCATTCCTTAACAACGCCGAGAATTTGGTAAGTAACCTCTTGCTGGCGAAAGCCCTACTTTGGTAGTCCTACTCTATTGGCAGCATACTTTTGATACACATGAAATTCATACAAAAACGTCGAGAAGCAAAAGAAGCTTCAACAAAATTGTAAAGGAAATGACAAAAAATTTTTTTGCTGGCGAAAGCCCTACTTCGGGAGCCCTACTCTATTGACAGGCTACTTTTGATACCCAAAAATATTTGATACGCATGAAATTCATACGAAAACGTCGACAAACAAGAGAAGCTTCAGCAAAAGTGCACAAGAGATGACAAAGAATTTTTTTGCCGGCGAAAGCCCTACTTTGGCTGCAACCAAACTACAAACACCCACAGGAATCGTCTTATCAACGGATTGTTCCACGTCTTCTTCGCAGATTTTGATGAAGAAGCTAAAGCAGGTGATAGAAGAGAAGAAGAACGTAGTCGAGAGGGAGAAGGAGCTAGACGACATGCAGATCATGATCGAATCGGTCCTCGAGCCAAGGATAAAGGACAAGCCCTCGACGAGAGTGGATTACTCGGCTGAAGAATTTCGGACGCCGAACACCGTCATGAGGCAGACGCAGCGCGAAGGGAAACGCACTCCGCTCACTTGTGAGTACCGTTTCACCCTTTACTTCCCCTCTCCAGTGTCACCCTTTCTTCTCTCTGTCAGCCAAGCTATCCTAAAACACCGACTAAACAAACTATTCAATGTTTCATCATGCTTTAAATACCAAATGTTCGGTATCTAACGATTTTCCTCGTGCATTGATCAAGAAACGATCCATGTTACAGACTCGAGTAGAACGTTGAATGAAATTCACTTTGAATCGACGTTGCGAAGAGATCTGCCTGTAACTTGATTAACAGTCACGCGAGAACTGCATCGCAGTAACTGTTCAATAGAATTCGAAAGCTGTTTAAATTTCTGTGAAAATAACGTGTACGTCTGAACTGATATTAAAGTCGAGTCGGACTGAAGATTCTAAGTAGAAACGTTTCTGATTGAGAGAGCAATCTTGAAAAATCTTGATTGTGTCTGTTCCATCAAAGAAACAGTTTCGACTCTACATTTTCGACGTCTAATTAAACAGTCGTTGAAAGAATCGTTTCTCGTGAAACAGTTCGAGTCTGTGACGTCTCGGAAACGTACGTTCGTCGAGTCGGAAAGGTGTTCTATCTCGGATTAAACAGACAGGGCAAAGTAACCGCGAATCCGTGGAGAGAATCCGTTGGAACTTCCGAAGGTCCACGGATCTTTCGCATTCTCTTCGCTCCGTTTCCTCCGCGATTAAGTTGAACGGACGTGCCTCGCGTGGCAACCGCCCTCTCACCCGGAAAAACACGAAAACCGAGTCGGATACGGCGCGTTTTCAACGAGCGAATCTTATCCCCGAACTCCGTCGTTCCCTCGACCCGTCGGAAACTTTGCCGTTTAATTAGACTCTCTCGTTATGCCTTCGGAGAACCCTTAACCCGTTCGATTTGCTTCTTTGTGTTATTATATTTTGAAACATAGAATTCTCGTTTGTTCCTAGGAAGAAAGATAGATGAAGTTTATCGGTTGCAACTGAATTTTTCTAAGGTTTAGATGTATTTGAAAGTTGTATGGAGAACTTATAAAGGATTAAAGTGTGAAGATTGAAATTCGTATCGGTTTCGAATGAGGAGAGTGATATTTTAATGGAGAATAGTTAAAATTATGTTTGAAGAGTTCGGCAAAGTGAGTTTCGATGAGAACTCGACGATCTTCTCTAAATTTCCGATGTAAATCGAGAAGTTTCGATCGTTGATCGTGAGTCAGATTCCCAAGAAATATTCAGCGAGCTTGTTTTCAATTGGAAGCGGGGTTAGGATCGCGTTTCAGTTTCAGGGTATCGTTTACGTTCGAGCAGCGAAAGACTGAGCAAACGAGAGTGATCGAATCGATTGCGCCAATTGACTTTTGATTCGCGTGACGTCAGGAGCGGCGATTCAGTCGAATCTTCGCGACGTATAAAACATCATCAAGATCATCAAAAGAAGTTCCCGCTTCCTCCGAATCCGTCTGCCAATCCAATCGCGTCCATTTAACGAGACCCGCGAAAATTATGGATTGAAAAGTAGAACCCCTTGCCTTACGATTGATTTCTCAACTATGATCGATACAACCACTTTTAATTAACAATTCATTAAGAAGAACAGATTTAGAGGCATACTCTACATCAATCTTAGCTTCAAAGTACAACAATTAATAATAGAAGAACAACATTAAATCTGAATTCAATCGAGTAACGTTCACGCTTCGATTCTGTTCAAAATCTACACAACGTCTCACATTATTGCAAGGCAAGGGGTTAAGGGTTAAACCCCTCGCTCGAAACCTCGATAAGCCATCAGTAACTCAAAGATCTAACGTCTCCTAATGTGCATCGTCCACAGATACGATGCTGTGCCACTTCAAGATCTGCAACATGGGTCGCAAGCGGCAGCTGCACAAATAGGCCGGGCACGCGGACCGTTCGCGGACCGGCGAAAATGATTGAGCCTCTCCGCACCCTCCGCCTCGGACGACCAAGCGAAACACGCGCGCCAACCGGAAAGAACTCCAGAACGGGAACGGGCAGCACGCCGCGAACCACCGGGAGAGAACGTCGCGACGTCGCGCAGCGAAGATCATCGTCAAAGTCGCCGTCTTCGTTTCATGCATCGATCGAACGAAGAAGATTCGAATTTGCCTAAAAGATGTCCGAACTGCGGCCAACGACGCCACGGGGACGCCGAGGATTCGCCGAGGATGCCGCGGATCGCCGCCATATTGGATACTCCGGCGCCACCTCGAGAATTCCTCGAGGCATTTCTCTAATTTGCGATCTTGGACGTCGACGAAAAATTGTCTGGCCGAATCTGCGAGGCTGATACGTGTAATTCAGATTCTCTTTGCTGTATCGGAGATGAAACAGTCTCGCGAATTCGTCGCGGCGGTTCCGCGCTGAGGATCGCCGCCATATTGGAGATAGGAATGCGCGAAAGCCTCGGCGAATCCTTCGTCGCTCCGCGAACGTCTCTTCCCCGTTGGGAGAGCCGCGAACCGAATCCCGCCGGAGATGTAAATAATGTATTGTCGCGGCCGGACCCGTCTGCATCACTTCCGGGCTGAGGAGCAGGGGGCGTTCTCCGACTGGCTCGGAAACGCGTCCCCGATCGTCGAGAGAAACGGGAGATGGGCGAAACTTTTCATCCGGCGCGATAGCTTCGAGTAATAGAATAAATATATTTTTGTCTGTTATTCTTGTACGGAAGTCGGTGTGCCGGGGGACTCGCAAGTTCTCGGTTAGTTTGACAACGGTATACACTCGGGTAACGAAGAAACCTTAATTAGATCAAATTCCGATTTCCTATAACTTCGGCTACCATTGATGAAGGTTGATTGTTCAAATTTGCTTCTCTTTTCTTTGCTTTCTTCGACGAGCTCGCTTGTTTCGGTGAGCTACCGGTGAACAAAGGTCTGTCGGACGATATTAATTACATCACAGTGAGTAATAGACGATTTCTATAGACGACCGACGAAATTGAGCGGTTTACGAGCCGCGACGAACGCTGAAACAAAGCGAACGTCAATTGGCTCGATTCGAGCGAGATAATTGCTCGGCGAAAGAGGATGACGGAAACCAGACGAGAACCCGCGACTCCGCCCCGGCGTCGTAGGTGCGAACGAAAGATAGTATTCCCCGTTGAACGAATCGTTCGCCGACGCGACGAGATCTATCGCCCCGCGGTCGAAAGTTTCGCCGATCCCCGAGAGCGGATGACAGAGCGCGCGTGTGTTTCGCTTCTAGTATTCCACAGTATAATCGTTTGATCCGGTAATCGAGGACACTGCATTCACGCCGAGAATCGTGAAGCGGCGTCTTGAACGGGGAGAAGGGAAATATCGGAAACCAAAGAAACAACGATCCTCCGCGAGTGAAGTGTCCCCGACCAGTGCCATTTGACAGAGAATCGAAATGGCGAATAGGTATTTATTCGTTAGCTTTAAGCGAGAAGGGTGCACGGGCCGAGGGTACACAGTGTTCTCGAGAACTGTCCTCGTCGAGCGAACGAGAGAAACTAACAGGTCGAAGGAAGAGAAAAATAAAAAAAAATAGAGAGAGAGGGAGCGCGAACGAATTGCAAAGGAAAGTCTTTTTTAAGTGAATTTTCTTCCTTTCTGTTGCATGCGCCTTGGAACCTTCTATCCTCAAACATGGCTGATCATTGGCGGGATAAAAAAAAGTATTCTACCGCGGTTGGGATGTTCTTCCTGGCATTGTTTCAAGAAAAATGAGAAATACGTGTTTTAATAGAGGCAGAGAGAGAGAGAATAAAAGAGAGAGACAGGAAAAGAGAGGCCGCCTGCACCCTTCGAGCAATTATTTATAATCGTTTCGCGAGGAGAAACGTGTAAAGCGTTCACGTAGCCTTTTTATGCGCCCCTTTTTATTTATTTAACCCTATCGACCCCCTCGCCAGCCCCATTTTAGCGTAACCCGATATTTTCGAAGCGTAGATCGACGATCACCGCGGTCGACGGTCCGTTTCCGTTGAAGATCGCACCCCGTCGCAACAATGGCGTCACGCCGGTGAAAAGTCGGAAAAGCGGTAGGTGTAGAAATTTGTGAAATTTCCATCTAATTTGCATTTCACATTATCGACAACTTAATCTAGACTTTTATGCATCCATGGGAAATTTGGAAGTGCAAAATTTGACAGAATGCGTACGACACAAAGTAATATGTTCTACTGCTTTTCATGACGTTTGATAGGGAAGATGATTTTCCATTGTATTTCTGCTTTTCTAATGAAGTTCTCAAAAATTTCAATTTGCAAATATCCGCTAATGAGACCTTTTTTCTTCAACATTGGAACTACCGGATGGGTCGAAATGATTCCAGATTTAATTTCTTCCAGTTGTTCGACAGATGACAAATGCTTTTCTGAAGTACTAGAGAAACTCGTTTAACGATACAAGTCTCAATAATTGCACTGTTCAGGTGTCTACGGAATTTTAAAAAGAATTTAATGTTAATTCTTTCTTAAGCTTAACACGTTCGCTACCAGCGTCACATATTTAACGGTCGTAATCCTATATTTTACATAATGAAAATGAAATGAATCCTATAGATATTGTTATTACAAATGATAAACTACATTATATTTAGCAACTCAATGACTCGTTTCAGTTTCATCCTTCCAATACTTTGTTTAGATTTATTGGATTGAAGGAAATATTATAATTGAGATCGTCATCGAAATAAGCGCTGCTAGCGGACGCGTTGTCAGTAGTCATCACCCAGTATGAAAAAGATACAAACATTTAAATAAAAAGGCTACAAATTTTCTAAGGCAGCAACCCCACTAATTTGAACTACTGGAAGTCACGTGACGAACGTTGCGACGAGGGTAAATCCCTAACCTCAACAGGTCACGCGATCGAATGACCGTTCGTCGAATTGTATTTCCTACCGATACTTTCTTCAACGCTATTTATCATTTAAATACATTGTACACGCATGTCTCCAGCAACCCCTGTCGTCGTGATTCGGTGCCACGCCATATTTGAAATCTCGCTGTATTATAACGAACCCGGAGAACACGTGACCCCCAAGAAACCCCTTAGTTAAAATCGGATCGAACGAGAACAGTTCATCGTTTCCCCCGTTCGGTGTTGAAATCGTTTGGGAAACGTCGCAGTCGTTCCACGATTCGTCGCGACAATGTATCACGCAACGATAGCAGAGAATAAAACGTGTAAACGTATGTGCGTGTGGCGCTAAGCGCGTCCGTGATTTTGTTTATAAACACCCGAGACGCAGCGCAATTGCATCGAAATAAATCACGTGCGAACTGATCTTGACACGAAAAACGTCGGCAGGCGGCTCTCTTTCCTAATCTATTTCTCTATTATTACTATTATCATCATTATTTTCTCTTTTCAATGAAACCGATCGGAAGTACTCATTATCATTTACTGACGTTTTGAAATCAGATTTTCGTTGCACGAAAAGTACGAGATCGAACACGCCCCTAATATAACACGTGCTCCGAACACGTGACCAGTCGCGAGCACAATACAGATTCGGTCATCCGTGTCATATTAAAAATTGCATTATTATTCAGTGCACACACTAAATCACGGTTTTCCTTTCCATCGATAAAATCACGAGTGGTTCTCAAGGCTGAAGAGAAGCGAGACCGGACGACAGTTCGTTTCGGAGTGCATGCATACGACATAACCTCAAATCCGCGCGAACAGCGTACTCGAATTTTCATCGGAACACTTACGAGCTGTCTGAACTTCTTCTGGAGCAGTCGACGCGCGTTCATCCACCATGCACGAAATACAAAAATCAGGTAGCGGTACTATTCAAAAGATGAAATAAATGTCACGGCCGGTTCGGAGCGGATCACACGTCACGACATCTTGACAGAACGGCGGGCAACTCGTATCGACTCGAGCGTCACGGGTAACACCATTTCCTGCTTCGACGAATTATCAGTAGCGAACGGGACGAGAGGAGAGTTGTATCTTCGAGATAATTAACGACGACGTAAATTAAGTGATAGCTTTATTCGCTTGAAAACGTAAGCGTATATTTTTAAAAATGTTTCATCGATCACTCGACCTAGTGTTTCACAAAATATATTTATGTGGTGTTCTGCAGTCCGTGTGTACGATATTTCAGATTTGCTTGTAAAGACAATACTATTTACATTATTTCCTCTTCTGTTTGTGCTTCTCTGGTTTCCCGTGTCTGTCTCCGGACCGGTCGCGATCCCGCCTCTTCTTGTTACTGTGTCTCTCCTCGTGTCTGCCGTGTCGCGAACTGTCGCTGTCCGAGCTAGACGTGTCCCTGTTCTTTTTCCTTTTCTCGCTGTCGTATTTTTTATTGGACCGATGCTCTTTGTGACTCTCCTTTTTACTTCGACCTTTGTCCCTGTGCCTGTCCCTGCTTCGATCTTTGCTCCTGTGTTTCCTCTCCTTCTTGCGTCTGGACTCGTACTCGTATTTTTCGCAGGAATCGTCGCGATACTTTCCTTCCCTGTATTTCTCTTTCTCCGAGTACTTCCCTCCGTTACGGGAATACTCGGAATCCTCTTTCCTCGCCTCTTTCCTGCGCTCGTGTTTCCTGTGGTCCAGCACTTCCTCTTTGGTCCTCCTGTCAGTTTCTCTTCTGTACCTGACCTCGTCGATACTGTCATCTCTTCTCTGGTTTCTCGGTCCAGGCTTTTTCCGATTTTCATTAGCCGCGTCGTCCTTGTCATCGAAGTACTGTATCCCTTTTCCCTTACCCCTCCACCTCATTTTGGCCACCGACTGCGAGAAGTCCACGTGTATGCGACGGTCGTCGATTAGCACGTTGTCCATCTTGAAGTAAGCCTCCTCGCAGCTTTTCCGATCGGCGAACTCTATGAACGCGTACTGCAAAGAATCTCCTGACTGACGATCTCTGATGACTTCACAGCTACAAAGGAACTGTCCGTGTCAGTAAGGAATGAACATATAGCAACTAAAAATATGATAAGAGTGTAGAAACGTACCCAACGACTTTTCCAAATCGGCTAAAGATAATTTCCAGATCGTCGTCGTTCGTGACAGGGTTCAATTTACAAATAAAGAGAACATTTTCAGGTGGTGCCATATCCGCATCTGGAATGTCTCCCACAATTTCCAGTATTGTCGCTCTTGCTTTTGCTTCCTTTTCTTTTTGCATCTCTACAATCTCTTCTGTTGTCATGCCAGCTGTATCGTCTATAACTTCGTCTGCTCCAATTCTGTCACTCTGGAAGTTTAGTAAACATTATAAAAAGAAAGGAATAAAGTTTTTAAAGTACAAAGCAAGAAAATCATACCATTAAACATTCTTTTGTAGGAGGTGGACTTTGATCAGGTACAATGAAACCTCTAGGATCCTCGAAAGGATCTTCCAAGATGACCGTATGAGAGATACGGATATCTTGATAGGGCCTATGATCTCCATCACAGATTGTGTCATTAAATTTAAAGATAATCTCTAAGCCTTCCGTAATTTCCCCAAACACGCAATGTTCTCCATCCAATGACTGAAGCTCGGGAGCCAAGGTAATGAAAAACTGAGAGCCCAGCATGTTGTTACCGCAATTAACCATAGACAACAAACCGCTTCTATCGTGTTTTATTTTTGGCATCTGCTCTGCCTCATAGTACCGTGCTTTTTCGCCTAACACGATACCGTAAACACTTTCACCCCCTTTCCCAGTACCGGTAGGATCGCCAGTCTGAGCAATGAAATGGCTCTGAACAGAATGGAACAAGTTCCAATTGTAATACTTCAGTTTGCATAGCTTCAAAAAATTCCTACACGCTGTAAAAGATAATTTAAATTAACGCGACGTACTGTGTATCGTGATAGCAGAACACTTAACCTCTATGCACATTTTCGACTTACTTTGCGGGCGTTCATCGGTGTACAAGTCGACGGTAAAATCCCCTATAGTAGTTTCTATTACAACTGCCATATTTTCATAGTGATTTCACCTTTTATATAAATATTCGATTCGCCCTCGGATATTATTTACATATTCTGTAAACTACACTGCAGTTGCAGATAGATATCAATCCCCACTCCAATGGTCCCTATGGTCAACAGTTGAAATGAGATCTCTCTCACACCGTGATAATCGATAATCTAATGTGTATTTCTGCTAGTAATCGATGCGGGCATTAATAATCGTCAATTACAGGGTAATAATAATCGTAGATATTTAATTTCTTCATACGTTAACAATAAAACAATCGAAACGATTTATGGCGCCATCCATGGTGAAACGCTTAAGCTGCTAGCCAATTTTGGTATTCCACTCAATCTTTAGATGGTGCCACTCTGTATTTTTTTGGCGGGATCATTAGGCTATAGTATATACACATTTTTGTAGTCTAATTCACAGAAATGAAGTCAAAATTTATTTACAAAATTCCTAAATATCTGCAGTCTACTCGTACTTATATTTTATTGTTGCTCAGTTTATCCTTATACACACTCCCTCTTCGCGACTACAATTTTTGTATTAAACATTTTATTTGTATATACAGTCAGATATTGTATATATAAAAAAACAATACGCTATTGAAGTTAGTCGACAGTACGGTAAGAACTAATCTATCGATAATCAATTATTAATAGGAAAATAGTCTAAAAAAAAACTCGCATCGCCATCTACACTAACCAATGCAATACTAAATTAACTAGCAGCTTGCACGTTCCACCGTTGATGACGCCACAAGCTTCGACTTCCCAAATTTCCTGAATAAACTAAACCAACTGTTCCCGCTGCTCCGCCGAATACAACACTAATCATCGTGAAAACAGAGATAACGTAATCTCATCGTAAACATTATGCGACAAGACGGCTAACAGTAATTAATCATTAAAAGGCTATTTCTGCGACGATTGCAAAGTATCTGTCCCGAATTTCACGATCTGCGACAAGCTTCTCGATATTCGAGGTAAGCAACACATTCTCTTCGTTAACCCTTTGCACTCGACAGGTGAGTCACCGTTTAATTCGAAACAACAAAGTCATAAAATTCAATATTCAACATTAAATTCCGTAAAACGCGTCAATACATAAAACATTCAAATAAACCATCCTCGTTTCTCAATTTACACGCGATCTCTCGATAATTTCAAAAACATTACGTCTCGATCACTAAAAAAACCTTCGAGCGCAAAGGGTTAATATAAAAAGACCGATAACAATTTGGTCAACTCTTTATACAGTGAATTACAAGGGAACGCGTCGAACAGAGAGAATAAATTGCAACGTGACTCGCGGTAGAATTTCACAACGCCTGCATGTTGTTCTTGAGCTTATGCATATCCGGTAAAATCGGCCGCACGTATGGCAGTTTGAACTTGTAAGCGTCAGGTACGAGAACGTTCAACACCATATGCGTCACGCCCGCGGTGAAGCCCCAGACGCGGTGTTTCCCGCCCAAATAGACCGGCAGAGTGTAACCGTTGCGGAACTGGGTGTGCCGGCAGAGGGACGGGTCGCACAGGTTTCTCAAGCTAAAAAAGAAAGCCTCCTCCACCTCGTTGGTGTTGATCTGGAGCTTCCCGGGATCGACCTCGCCGATGTACCCGAACACAGGTAACACTCGAAGGCTCTTTTTGCTGATAACATTACCGGAAGCCCACACGTCGACTTTCTCCTTCGGGATCTTGAGCTCCTCCCATGTCTCGCGTAACGCCGTCTCCTCGAGGTTACGGTCGCTGTCGTCGTACATGCCGCCGGGGAACGAGACCTGTCCCCGGTTCGACGACAGCTTCGTGGACCGCAGGGTGTACAGGAGACCCAGCTCGCCCTCGTGCTTGCATAACGGCACCAGTATCGCCGCCCGGCTCACTTTCTCGTCGGATTCCTTCGCGGTCTTCCGAGCCTTGAACCGCTCGACGAACGACGAACGACTCTCCTCGCTGAGAACCACCTCTGGCTTCAAGTACTCGAGCGTACTGGTGTTCAGGCCACGTTGCGATTCTGCCGGCTTCGTTGCAAAGAAAAGGGAAATTTTAAATAATTTCACGGTTGCTGAGGGGCGAGTTAACCCCTTGGCCTGTGATTCCTTTCTCGGCTCTGATCGATACTTTGTCATTGATAGTTCATTGGAAAGAGGAAAATTTTAAGCATGTGTTGTCTCTGTATTTTCTTTGAAGTATAGTAATTGATTACGGAGGAATAATATTTACTTTGAATTTCAATGAACTGAGTAATATATGTATTTGTTGAATCAGGTGTAGGGCAAGGGGTTAATGTGTTAAACGATGGACAAATTTTGAGCGTTTTAATTAATTTATTCCTTTGTGTTGAAGGTAATTGGGAATGATTGTGAAGTATTTGTAATGTTTATAACTATTATTCTCAAAATGATGCATTATACGAGGTATAGTATTAAATATGAAATTTCATAGTTTCACTCTATGAAATCAAATGGCGAGAGTCACCTCTCGAGTGCAAAGGGTAGAAAGAAAAGTTCCCGACCTCCCAATTTACCCGGCACGGTTCGAAAACGAAAGTAACGGATTTCCGTGAAAGTACCGCCATCTAGTGTGCAGAAGGGAGCCGAGTATAGCAGCTGTGCATGACGTCTATCACCTCACGAAGAAAGTACTTACGAGAACACGCTGAAGGCAGCGTAGAGGCAAGGAATACAGTTTCATCGATGCAATCGGCTCTCCGGGGGAACGTTCGTCGGAAAAATTGGACAATTAACGGAAGCTCGCGCGAACGAATCGCCTCGTTATTGGAACCAGTACTATTCGTTCGACACTCGATTTATCAAGGATATCTGGCACTATGTTTATCTTCGCGACAATTGAACGTGCCACTGCTAGATGTCAGTCGGGTCGGTTTCGAATAATTCTTTATTAGAAACAAAAAAAGTGTCGCAATAGACGTTCCGATCGTTTGCTCGCTTACTGTGGGTTCGTCGCTTTTCTTCGGTGGCCTTTGACCTGAAAAATGTCTCGTTAAACAAACAGAAGCAGGATTATTAATCGTGGACCGTGATTTCTCTGACGAATTACGATGTAGTCAATGAATCACGGCTCCGAGCATAGTTCAATCGTCGAGGATAATGAGATTATTGTCGTTCGTTATGAAGATAATTCTTTCGTTCGGTCGCGCAAAAACACGGAAACAAAACAGGAAGAGGTTAAGTAGCACCTTTCACGGGTGCCGCGACGGGTTACGTGAAGGTAGACGCGGACGAACGAACGCAACGCCTGCTTATTCACCAAATTAACGTTTATTTGTCCGATAGCCGTTGTTTTTCGCTGCGTGGATGGACATCCACCTCCTTACGCGTTTTCGACGTCCGCCAAACGTTTCCTGTTTGTGGCTATGGACGTCGAAAACGTGCAACTCGATCGAAGCCATAACCGCGAATCGTTAAAGTCGACCTCTTAACCCTTTGCACTCGAGAGGCGACCCTCGTTCGCCGTTCGATTCGATACACCGAAATTATGAACACTCAAATTCAATATTGCATTTTGTGAGAGCCATCGGCACATGAACCTTAGAGATCAATCAATTCCAAACGTTAATTTATGCAAGATTCTCTTTTATGCTACTTGCTAACAGTATGAATATTTCAACAGAAAATAATATTTATAACGAAAAATATTGTGGGTGCAAAGGGTTAACGCATAAACTACCGAGCAGTCAAATTTTAGATACTCTACGAGTATCTATTGAGATTTCGATTTATAATTGTGTTTATCGCTAACCAATTTGTTCAGTAATTTCTCAATCATGTATCTTTAGTAATTGCAAAAAGGAATCGGGAATAGGTTATTTTGACTCGTCTGGTAATTCTAGTGTTAAACAGTCTCTTTAGTTTTTTTCTCCTGATATTTGTTTTTAATCTCGCGTTTTTCCTCACTTTTCACAATGAAAAAATCGGGACGTTCGCTGAATAAAAATCACCCTGTACAGTCTAGTGTGTGACCTTGACCCACATTGTACGGGTGTACGCGATCAAACGAGACGCGAATCTCTGCTATTTTCCTCGTTCCTCGATTTCTGTGCAGATTCCGACGCGTTGTTCCCGATCCAGTGCTGTTTCCTTTTTTATTCGTATCGTAAATACGTGATCCGAAGACCTTGAACGGTTTCAGTGTTGAGGGCAACGATTATGTCATAACTGGCAGAGGTTTATACAACTCTACGATTTCGAGTATCATTCATAGAAAGCGGCCGCGCGGAAACTTTTATCTTCTCCATCGAGAATTTCGTCGAGAGACAAACGTTTCCAGATGAGATTCAACCGAGATCTTTATCCGCCGTGTTTTACAGGTTAGGAAACCCTATAGAACACGTTCGACGTGAAACTGAAGCAAAACGACGAATTCGCGCGATATTTCGACTACCAATCACAGATCTGTCACGTGACGGTTATTTTAATCTGATTTCAATCGGATAATAAACGAGCATTCGCAGTGGAATTACGATGGTCGCCCTTACGCGAGCTCGACCGCTTAACGATCCCGAATGGTCCGTCTCTTTAATAATTGAAACGATAAACAAATGAGCTTCGGTTTTTATCTCGTTGACCGGCGATCAACCGGAAACCGGATTTCACATGAGAAATCAGTGATGCGAACTCGTCGAGGCGCAACATTTGTCTCCCGTCGCGACGCATAGATCCACTGGAGAGATTGAAATCGTTTTTCATCTCCCAAGCTGGAATACATCGGAATACATTCGAATTCTAATGCATCGGATCGTCTGGGTTAGGTTTGTACATAAAAAAACAAAGGCAAGGACCAATGATGCTCGACGTTGAGAAATGTCCAATTATAAAATCTGATGCGTGACAGTGATAAGTGTTACGTAAGTACAGCAATTATTGTAATTAACGTCAGCTGGTAACCGTCCGTTCCCCGTATCGATACCGATCCGAGTATTTTATCGAACGAGTTCGCACCTGGGCTTCTCAATGACTCGGATAATCGGCAAATAAGTAACAATAGTCACCGTTATCGCGGTTACAATACTATTTGCTCGGTTCCGTTGGCTTCGGAGATAAAACTAATCCCATTTTGGTTCACCTGAGCATAGGTACGTAAGTACACGCTAACAAGTGATTCATGCTCGCCGCAGATAAAGCTGAGGGTAAACATTCTGAAATATGCCGATTCGGTTTGCATACAATGTGACGTTTCGGGCATTCGAGGTCCTAGATTAACGTTGAATTTCTTGTAACGGTCGTAATCTCCATTGATAATCGTTAATCACGGCAATATCCCATGATACGATAATCATGGTTATCGATCGGAATCATTAACCTCTTCATTCTCGACAGATAACGCGGAAACACGGTGAAGGATCAAGATAATTATGATCGGTATCCTTGGAGAGGTTATGTTCCGATTAAATTATCGATCGCAGGCTTGCATCATTCGGATTCCGATTTGAAATCGTACGGATCGTGTTATTCTGGTCTCGATCGTTCAAGAACGAATCAATCAACGACCCAGTTATCCTAGCTTTCAGAAATGCGAAAATCTAGGGGCCCACGTGCATTCGCGATTTATTGAACGAGTTGTGCAACTTTGTTTGACACGCTAAGACCGTGTACGGTAATAGCTTATTAGATTAGGTAGTTGAGTCGCGACCGGCTGATACGCTGATCGACAGAAATTGCAGGAAAAGCATGAAAGCGCTTGTGAAATCAAAACAAGCGGACGGTCTTGTATAATCTTTCGAGTCGGAGTAAAAGAATCGAGATCTCAGCCTGGTATTATATCAGCGACCTCCTTTCGATTCCTTTTTCATAACCTCTACAATTGTGCAAATTTTCAGTCCTAATTGAATAAAGCCTATTAGCATTAGAACTGCCGAGCAGTAATACTTATCTGTACTACCTTGTAAAATTGATAAAAATACTATTTTCACTTTGCTTACAATTTAGGTACTATCTAAAGTCATTGAATAATCTTCCAGATCATCAGTATTTTTAATAATTTTAAAAAAGATCCAAAACTCATTTTGACTAGTATGTCTAGTGTTAAATAAAACCTTAATTGCGCGTAGTCTGTCGATACAAGAGAAAAAATATTGAAGAGAAAAGCTGGTATGTTTTAGAAATATATATTTACTTCACGTAGCTTAACAAAAGAAACAATAATAATGACGTTTTATAAAACAAAAGTATAACTTATTCGTAGTTACTAAATTCAGACTGCGCGAAAAAATACCGCGTAAACAGTGTTCCAATTCACCGCGTAAAAAAGAGGCTTGCATTTATATGATAATGCGACGAGTTGTTGGGTACGACGTAAAAATTCGTCCGATAAATCGGAATGTGTACAGGCCCCTGAAGTTTCGGGTTCCCGGTAAAACGCTTGCGTGTCGTAAGGACTAAGCCGAAAAGCGAGCCGAGCGGAGCCGAGGATAGCCGAGCAGCACTGAATCATATACGACGCGTAGTTCTATGCGCTTCGCTCTCAGTATAGAATGTTAATCGGTCGGTAAAGCACGTTCGTTGATCGTTCGTTGCTATTGTGTGTTGTTCGTTGGATCGCGTCGCGAGAAAGGAGGAGAAATATCAAAAAGAAATAGGTTACTCGTGGTGTGCATGCGATGAGTAACTGTACGAACTGTGCGCAATAACATAGGGGCACCACCACGGCCGAAGAAGAAGAGGAAACATTCGATAGGAACTGCCACTGGTCAGCGTTGTTCTAACGCGCTATGCGTTGGTTCGATGTGTCGCCTCGAGGTCATAAACGGACTTTGACAGAAACTGGTATATCGTGCGTGGACACGATGTTGTGGATGTTGAGCGTCTGCTGGCTGGCCGCA